AAAGTATATTTTTCCTTTCTATGGGCCCCTGCCTCCGTTAACTGCACTTCCCTTGTTATATTCCCTTATTATAAAAATAGGAAAGTGAAGTTTTATAACGATTAGCTTTCATACGCAATGCAGTTTTCATGGAACTAAAAAAACAAAAGTAAGCAGCCTCTGTTATCTTCCAGATTATCCTTAACAACTACACCAAATTTTATCGAGATCCATTTAACTGTTTTGGGCTACAAAAATAACAAACATCATCTAAATTCCAGATTATCCTCTACATCTATGCAGTGTATTTATCGAGATTTTATCAAGATCTGTTTAACTGTTTTGGGCTACATTTTAAATATCTAAACTTTATTTATAATATTAGTAAGATTATTTAGAGCTATCGATATATTGTGTGTAAGTTTGTAGCTTCGAAGTCAAAGGAAACAGAACAATGTAGTAAGAAATAACAATGGCGAATGTTACGTGTAATTTACAATGTAGAATAGTTGTACAGGTTGCAACAATGCTCAGCTTGCGGACGTTATAACGTTTACTTCGGCTTCGCACATGAACTGCCGAATTATTCAATACAAGCTCTTGATGGCGACTTCACCCGCGTGAAATTAAAAAATATAGCTAATGCACTGATAACGTAGCTTTTTAATGGTGATAGAATTTTTGAAATCGAATAGTTTTTGAGATATATTAATAAAAAAATGCAAATCTTTCCTCTTTATAACATTGGTATAGATTACGGGAACTAACTAAGGTAATACCTCAAGTTCTGTGTAAACGTGCATTAGTTGATGATGAAGGAAAACGAAAAGTTACGTCTAATTTAAATGCACGCCATCTATCGGTTAAAACCAATACAATATAGGACAGGATCGAGCATCGAAGATCTGGTTACGGAAAATAAGGGTAAAAAGTATATCAATTCCATTTTTAAAGCGACATTTTAAAATAATAAACAGACAATCACACGTATTTATTATAATGTAGAGACATAAGTCGTGTATTTGAAACACGTGCACGCTTCTAGAGTGACATTAGTACCGAAATTACATGAAACCAGAAACACACTGAATGCTAAGCTAAGCTTTATGAAAGGAATCAAAACTAAATAAAGAAAACTCGAATTACATAATCAAAGATTAATATATTTTTAAAAGATGGATATTTACTTATTTAGTTTTATAAAGCGCTAATAGCTTAATGGTTTGGAGTACGGACTACCGATCTTGCGGTCGAGGGTTCGAATCCCGCCATTCGACTATTGTTAACCATATTCTAGTACATTGTAAGCTTAGATAGAATTGTAACATATTAGTAAATAAACTAATACTTTTAATAAATAAAAACTAACGTCTAAACATCTAATAGAAATCTATCGCCCCACAATTTATGTTCGTTTATGTAGCACTTTCTTTATTACTTTCAAGTTATGCTGACATCTCCAATCCTGTTTCCTGAACTATGCAAATGTCCCCGAATACGTCTGCATTAGGAGTGCCATCTCGCTTATATCATTGTGTTATTTTAATCTCATTCTATGTGTACGGGGATTAGTTAGAATAGCTATACAAAATTATTGTTTACCTGTTTCGTTAAAGATGACTTTGCCAGCGTATAATTAAAAAAATATTAAAAACATATGTTACTGGTGATAACAGCTTTATAATAGTGCAAGAATTACATACAAAAATCTTCCCTCTTTATATTAGTATAGATAGATAGAAAAGGAGCTGTTGCCCGCAAACTTCATTAGCGTGGAATAAAAAAAATGGCTTGCCAGACAGACAGACAAAAAATTACGTACAACAAAATTTACAATAAAATACGTAGATTTTTTCTTATCACAGTTCTTACATATGTTTTGATATTGTACGGACGTAGTTGCGGGCAACAGCTAGTAAATTACAGTTATTCCATACGTCTGTGTTCTGTAATTGTTCATATGAACCTTTGGTATGAAATTCTTGATAAAATTCACATGTAAAACTATTCAACTAATAAAATTTGACGCGTGTTTACTTCGATTGAATGATCTTGATGCTTTGCAGGTCTAAATGTTACGCCAAATTTGTTTTACGATGTTGGCAATAGTTAGTTGAAATTTCGTTTCATTACAGTTTTATATATAAACTAGCTGTGTGCGGCTTCATCTGAATGATATTATAATAACTTTATTTTATTGTTTACAATTGTCAAATTCTCAATTGCAAATGTCAAAATACCAATTACCTTACTATGGCAACCTTGCTTCTTGATGTTGGCAGTTCGTGTCGTATGGTCTCTTTCCCACATTAGGGTTTTTATCCATAATATCTACCACCTAAGTTTAATGGCGGTAATATATATAGCCTAAAGCGTGTCGTAAGTGTAGGACTTTTTTCAAAAAAAATATTATTGAAAAATATGCTGTAATTGCTGACATCTTAGGCAACAAAGAAGTGTGTGTTTACGCTATATTATAATAGTATAGAAAGATAAAATATATAGAAGTATAGATTAGTTTTCGCCCGCGACTCCGATTACTTCTGCGTATTAAGCCATCAATCGATGCGTTATTAGTTCGAACCATCATACAATATAAATTAGTATCAGAATTGACATGTCAAAGAAAATTGATGGGTCCGGTAATGTAGTGTTTGATTAGTGATCGACTGATACGATGTTTTACATTAGTTTGGTTGAAATTGACTGTTTTTGTGAACGTTAAAATGTTTGTGTATGCTAAAATAAAGAAATTAAATGTAAAAGATATTTGTATTCTATACTATAGTATAGTTATATATAACTAATAGTATAGTTATATATAACTAATAGTATAGTTATATATAACTAATATTATAAAGAGGAAAGATTTGTATTTTTGTATGTATTGAACTCAAAAACTACTGGGCCGATTTAAAAAATTCTTTCACCATTAGAAAGGAGATTTATCTGTAAATAACATAGGCTACGGTTTTTAACATTTTTTTTTAATCTCACGCCGACGAAGTCCCGACCAACAGCTTATGAAGGGCAATACTATCTCAAAGTTGTGATCTTTACGACTACTAATTCCTTTCTGATGCATATATTGATTCAACCATTGTTTTGTTCGTAAAGAATCATTGAACTGTACAAATGGATAGGCTATTGTTTACAAAAGAAAATTTTTGAATCGTACTAACTTAAAAGCGATTATTTATGTTAACATTTAAGTCTATTACTATTATTAGTTGGAAAATTCTTCACCGCAACGAACCCAAAACACCACAGTTATAGCCTATCTATTTATAAATGTCAGTGTAAAGAACAAATACAACATTTTATAATCCAAATATTTTAATTAAAGAATGCACAAATCCTAAAGTAAAACAAACTCCAAAGTTATTGGTGTAAAGTTCAATTTTGCATATATCTGCGTGCTAGTATAACCCGACTGCGTGGAACTCTGCACTCCGTTAATGCATGAATACGGTCGCTTCTTACAAACGCTTGGTCACAAGATAATTCTGCGATAGCTGATAATATTCCGTCCTTCTCTAATGGTAACTCAAGCTCTTCTGGTACACGTGACATCCATCTCGCTTCCACACAACTAGATAGAGAAGGACATGTGATTTTAAACAAATGACTACGTAATACAGCTTCTCAAGGTTTTTAAAACTTGTAAAACTACGTCTTGACTGTAAGAAACTTGTGAAAATTGAAAATAAGGGCGTGTTCCTTTTTTCTAACCAAAGTGTCCTAAACAGTTAAGTTTTTTTTTCGTTCTTTGGTGGCATTAGTTTATTTTAAACTAGCTTTTGCCCGGAATTAAAAAAAACTTAGTAAGTCTATGTGTTCTTCCAGACTATCCTCTACATCTATGGCAAATTTTAGAGAAATCCAAACGTTTTCGATATACGTAGATGTAAACATCCGTTTAAACACACAACTTACTAATAACATATTTTTTCACTCTTTTACGTGTTAACCATATTCACAGTTTAACTTACGAAGGACAAGGGTCCGCGGGAACCATATAATTGATGGGAACTGCTGACCAGAATTTTGGTAACTCTGAATGTACCGTGTACGTTCTCAAACGTGAAGTGCCGTGGTGCTTTTGTACATGACGTTCCTAATAACAAAGACAATTTCCACTGTTAAAGTCGTCTAAAAGACGCGTTATATCTCATGTTTTTATATTCAAATGCTAAAAATACTTGCAATTTATCTAATTTACTTCACTACGACATTTAAATAATTTGGCTTAGACAAACTCTGAAAATGAAACTTAAATTCTGATCTAATTATAATAACAGTATCGATAATTAAATAAGAATTGCTTAAACCACGTATGATCGATAGTACTAAGCATATAAAGTGCATACATCTACGAAGAAAGCAAAATCTACGCACTAAAGACTCGCGATGGGTCGAAAATGGTCCAATACAAAGCGGGATGGATGAAATGGCGACAGGTTACAGGTGTAATATGCGACCCGCATATTCCCCTTAAAATAAAGGGGGAAATTTACAAAACCGTCGTAAGACCTGTCATGATATATGGATCTGAATGTTGGTCAGTAAAAAGGACGGATGAAATGAAAAAAAGATACATGTGGCGGAAATTCGAATGTTAAGATGGATGTGTGGGGTAACACGATTGGATAAGATACGAAATGAGTATATTAGAGGAAGTTTGAGAGTAGCCCCAGTAGTTGAGAAAATAAGGAGTAAAGGTTAGAGTGGTATGGGCATGTTATGAGAAGGGATGAATCGCACGTAACAAGAAGGATGTTAGTTATGAGTGTGGAGGGGTACATTGGTAGAGGTAGACCTAGAAAGAGATGGATGGATTGCGTGAAAGGTGACATGATCAAGAAGAGAGTGATGACTGATATGACGGATGATAGAATGCTTTGGAGGACGAAAACCCGGTGCGCCGACCCTACGGGAGTAGGATAAGGCAGGGGAGATGATGATGACAAATAAATGCCGTCATCGTACGATCTTACGTATGTTAACCTATGCGTAATTAGTAATATGATGTTTTACGAAAGTTTAAACAATTTAAATAATAGAAATAGTTGAAATACTAACATAATAAAATGCAGTGTGAATCAATTCATTGATTTTCTCCGTGATAAGGCAGAAAGTTAAATTGAGACAGTGGAATGAAGGACGCTTATCTCCTAACAGATTATGGAACGGTTCCAAAGAACAATCCAGCATTCTGAAAGGAAACAGTCTAATATTCACTCAGCTAAGTTGATAGCTAAATGTGACTTGCAGCAACTTTTAATTAAGAAACTAATGTAATAGAATCCTCGTATTGCCAATTCTGTGCAAGTTATAGGTGATTTCAAAAAGTTTTGGTTAATTCGGTAGTACAGTCGCGGAATTCCGCGGTGTTTCACTGCAGGATTAATTGCCTTGTTCTGTTAAGAGCAAAATTAGTACCGTGATGCAGAATTGGCGTAACTCTAGATTATCTGTATAAACGTCACGTCCCTAGCTGTCAATGTCACAAGAAGGATGGATAGATTGGCGCAACCTGTGTTCTGGCGAGAAGTGTTGCTCTGAGTTTAAAGCGACAGTATCAATTTAATAAGTTGTTTAAAAGTTCATTGCAACAGAACGGACTCTTCTTACAAATAACCAATTAGAAAGCAGTGAGTGCAAACGAATGAATAATAATAAGAAACAAGCTGTTTATCCCGCGTTTCGACTGGTGGGTGTGGTGCCGGAGGCGTAATTTTAGTCCCTTTCTCTTTCTTTTTCTTAAGAGGAAAGCATGGAATGGAAAAGTGGATTTGACGGTACAGGAGACGCATAGGAAATGTCCTCTTTACATGCGTCTTCTCCTCCGTCAATTAAGGCAACGCATCTGTAATTGTAGATGTTTATGGGCAACGGTCGCTTTCCATTTCGGTGGATTCAGATAGCCGCGTGCTCGTTTGCCACCTTATATTATAAAATAAACCGACTGTTTATCGTACAGACACATTTACCTTTTAAGGTGAAACACCGTCAGTTTCCTTAAATGTACATTAATTTTATATCTAGTTTTTTCCTACCCTATTGAAATAGGAAAGTTCTATTATATTCTAAACCAATAAACACATTTTGAAGAATGAGGGCTAAACAGACCAGAACAGAGAGCAGATTTTTAACGCAAATAAAATTGAGCTTTATATGATTAGAACAAGGTTGAATTTCATTTACACGTGTTTTTATCAAGAGTTTAAACGTGAAAAGTAATATTAAACTTTGTTACAATAGTGTAAAGTTCAGTTTCAATTGTTTTAAAAAATCTGCTCTCTACGCTCTTGTCTTCTTCCTCTGAGTCAGTTAGAATTTTTGGATTATCATTAAAAAATTCGAATGAAGATTTACTTGAATATTTCATAAACTTTCTCCATAGAGTCGTTTAGTTGTTGCGTTCTAATTTCTAATTGCTGTCTAAGGTTTTGTGTTATCTTTGATTTCTGTTCTAACTGTTGACGTAGCATCTTTAGTTTATTATTTTGCTTCTCTTCCGTCATTTCGATCCAATCTTTACGGTCTTCTAAAATAAAGTCAATAAAAGAATAACATTTTATTTCATTACTCGGAATAAAGGATTCACAGAACAACATGTAAGTAAAAATTACAGTAAAACTTTTGAAATCGACTTTACAAATTCCTAGCTGTTGCCCGCGATCGCGACTTCCCCCGCGTGGATTAAAAAATTAATAAAAAATTCAGCCTATGTTATTGATATCGTAGCTTTTTACCTTTGAAAGAATTACTAAAATAGGCCCAATAGTTTTTGAGTTGTTCCAGTACATATAAAAATACAAATCTTTTCTCTTTATTATATTAGTATAGATACAGATTTGCAAAATTGTTATAATTGAAGCCTTTTATTTGTCAAATAAGGATTTTTTTTGAAAAAATGAGTTTCTTTTTCCCTTGAAAAAGGTATGAGTAAGGCATTCCACAGGTTAACAAAAAAGTTCCAACTGAAATCTGGGCTTATAGGAAAAAACTTGTAGGAAATATCGTGGAATTCGAACTTTTGACCACGTGATATTTCCAGAAAGTGTTAAGAATGAATGTGGATGGCTACAAAGGAAGAGGAAGACCGAAGAAAGTATGGATGGATTGTGTGAAAGAGGATATGCTTAAGAAATGAGTGTTTTCAGATATGACGGCTGATAGACATGTATGGAAGAGCAGCACATACTGTGCCGACCCTCCACAAGGGATAAGGGCAAGTTGATCATGACCACGTGATCTTTGACCATTAAATTATTAGCGTAAAATAATATTTTACCTAAATTCTGTCGTATTCTTTGCAGATCACGTCCAAGAACTTCGTTTTCAGCGCAATATTCTGTCAGCATTTTGTATACAGAAAAGTTTTTTTGCTCAGTATGCTGGAATTCTTCTATGATTTTGTTTATATCTAACTTTTGTGTGTACGCCTGGAGAATAGTTACTGGAGTACACGCAAGAGCATTGAATCCGGGACACTTAAATCGAAAAACTAAAAATGCTAGCTTAGTAGTAAACGGTTTTTAGTAGACAAATACTTTTTAAATGAAGACATTAAATCTTCTTAGTTTCTCTCTTAATCATATTGTACAAAAATGTCATATTTTTTTTCATAACGACGACATCAGCAGTTTTTTTTTTATTTATGTATTTTTTAATATATGGAATGTACTGGATTAAAATATTTTTTATTTTAATTTAAGGGGTATAATATTGTCTATTAAACGTCGTTTATTTCATTAAGTTAATTTAGTTTACGAGATTTTTAAGTTTTTGACGCCGTATTTAATGCTCTTGAGTGTAGTTTTGCTGGATGTTACAACGTAACTCTTATAATTATAGATCAAATCTTGACGAAATTTTGCACAGAGATAGATTACAGTCTGGGTTGTAGGCTACGTTACGGAAGGTTTTCCTCGCGACTCAGGATGCGTGGAATTAAGAAAAAACAGTACGTAGTCTATATGTTCCTCCAGACTATGTTCTACATCTATACCAAATTTGATCGAAATCCGTTCACAGTTTCGACTACAAACTCTAACAAACATACATCTAAACTTTCGTATTTATAATATTAGTAAGATGGAAAATTAATTACATTTATATCGTTAATTATTTTAACATGTTCGCTATATTTTTCTTTAAGTTGCTTCTCTCTGGCTATCTTCTGTTCTTCCACTCTTTTTTCTTCTTTCTCATTGATTCTAATAACACCCTTTTTTGATAGGAAATTGTACAATTTCATTTCGTGATCGAATGACTTTTGTAAATCTCTCATTTCCTGAAATAGAAAGAATTACAAAAAAAAAACGTAAAACAATTAAGTGTTTTTAAAAATAATTATTGCAACACTAGCTCACTCTATCCACGTGGAATTACTCAGTGATAACGTAGCTTTTTAATGGTGAAAGAATTAATGAAATCTGGTCAGTAGTTTATATGTTATTTCAATACATACAAATACAAATATTTCCTTATTATAATATTAGGATACCTGTACTTGTAGTAATTGATCCATTCGACCTTTTTCCTGCACCGATTTTAGTTTCGTGCACCACTCGTCTCGTTGGTCGTATGCTAATGTCGAAGATTCAAAGAGATCAGTTAAAAACTTCTTGCCTTTGGTTAACGCGTTCAACATTTTGTTCCACGCTTGGTTAAATATTGCTCTGTAATTATTTTTTTTATATTATAAGGTGGCAAACGAGGAAGTGGCCACAAATGGTGAAGCGAGACTGCACATAGACATCCAATGCATTTGGGTTGTCTACCCTTAATCGATGGAGGAAACGCACATAAACAGGATATGTCCCCTTCCTATGCGACTCCTCCACCGTTAAATTTACTTTTCTCTTTACAATATTACTAGCTGTTGTTCGCGACTTCGTCTGTTTGAAATTAAAAATTATAGCTATTGGTACTTAAAGATAACGTAGCTGTTAACGGTGAAAGATTTTTGAGTAATACACACATAAATACAAATATTTCTCTGTATAATACAAGTAGTAGTATAGACTAGCTAGTAGTAAGTACACTATGTGTTCTTCCAGATTATTCTTTACATCTACGACAAATTTTATCAAGATCCATTCAGCAGTTTAGATTACAAACTCTAACAAACATCCATCTAAACTTTCACCCAAAATATCAGTATTATTAATAGGAAGTAAGATGTCTTGAAAACAAGTTTCAAACCTGTCTTTGAGCACATGTTCTATTTCTGTTCTGATTTTCTTGTTTTCGCATTGTATTGCGTTGAATCTTAACATCGCTACTTCTAATTTGTTCTCTGTACGTATCAATCGATGTTCGCTTGTGACTCGTCTCTCTTCCAGCTGTAAATCTTACTAATGTAAACTAGCTTTCGCCCCTGACTCCACGTGGCTTAAAAAAAAGTAAGTAGCCTATGTGTGCCAAACTATCCTCTATATGACAAATTTCGTAAAAATCCGTTCAGCAGTTTAGGCTACAAACTCTAACATCCATCCATCTAAACTATCGCATTTATAATATTACTAAGATGCGGAAATTTAGTTGGCAGCTTGTAGTTTAGGGTCGCTTTCCCACATGAAGGTTTTTTCAAATTTATTTACCACCTAAGTTTAATAGCATCAAAATATATGGCCTAAAGCGTGTCGTCAGTGTAGGGCTTTTTTTTAAGAAATATTTTGTCAAAGCATTAGGCTTTTTACTATTTTTATATGTCGCGCGAATGGAGTCGCGGACGAAAGCTAGTAATAGATAATACAATTACTTTTCCCATTGTTGAATTGACTAATCGTTTAAGACGGAGCGTCTGTTTATTATTCCTTTGCAGCAAACCTTCTAATTGGTCCATCAAAATTATTCCATCTGAAAAACATGAACAAAGTTACACATTTATAAGTGATATCCAAGAATCCGATTTATGTATAAAAAGAGTTAACCTCCTAGGAATTATGAAAGTCCCTTTTCGCTTACCACCCTTTTCTTATAAGCAAAAGTCGAGAAGGGAAAGTGGATTTGACAGAAGAGGAGATGCATAGGAAGAGTAAATGTCCTCTTTATGTGCGTCTCCTCCTCCGTAGAATAAGAGTAGGCAACGCATCTGCAATTTCGGATGTCTACGGGTAGCGGTCGATTCGCCATTTTGGCGGATTTAGGTGGCCGCTTGCTCGTTTGCCACCTTACTAGTATGGTATAAAAAAACCTATTCAGTATAGAAATGCAACGTATGGCCGGTTTCCCAGCTATTTTTAACCATTCATTAGTGTTATAAGTACCATAACTTCATGCGTTTCCTAATTACGTAACTTGAGTTTTTCTCCATTGAAACTTAGTTCAACTTAATGCTTATGAATCTGTAGGTAATCTATACTAATGTTATAAAGAGGAAAGAAATATTTTTATTTGAAATAACTCAAAAACTAATGGGCTGATTTCAAAAATTCTCACACCATTAAAAAGCTGCATTATCAGTGAGTAACATAAGCTATATTTATTTCACGCAGACGAAGTCGCGCGCAACAGCTTTAATTAAATTTAATCTTACTTTCACATTCAGTTTCTGTCTTCTCTCTTAACAAAATACTGTCAAGAACTTCCTTTTTACTTTTCTCTTCTAGTTTTCTGTTAGCACCGGATTTAGCTATCTGAAATAGAACAGTCTCACGATATTGTGTCATATTGCTATCTCTGTTTTTTACAATGAAAGTGAGAAGAATAATAATACGTACTTTTAGGTCAGTAGCAACATTAATGTATTCCTTCTTTAATCTTCGTAGTAGATCATCTTGTCTGCGGAACATCGGGTGAACTCCTTTCACACGATTCGATCTGTCAGCTTGTATCATACGAAACTGTAAAAAAATATACTAAGAGCGGGTACACTTTTGACTAATTTATCGCACCACAGTTGTGCGATTGTCGATTGTTTCGCAGCCAATTATTTTTTTAGTTGCACAACTAAACATTGAGTAGTGTGCCCAGCTCCAAGTTCATGGGAATCAAAACTACTAGGCCGATTTCAAAAATTCTTGCACCATTAAAAAGCTACGTTATCAGTCAGTAACATAGGCTATGCTTTTACTTTTTAATAATTCCACGCAAACGAAATCGCGAGCAACAGTTGGCCTATCTATACTATTATAATAAAACGTAAACACACACTTCTTTGTTGCCCAAGATGTCAGCAATTACAGCATATTTTTGAATAATTCTTTCTTTAATAAAAAGCCCTACACTTGCTCACGTTTAAGGCTACATATTTTAACGCTATTAAACTTAGGGGGTAAATATTTTGGATAAAAACCCTAATGTGGGAAAGAGACCATAAGTTGCTGCCAACATGAAAGAAACAAGGTTGTCATCATGTCACGTCATTTTAACATTTGCAATTGATAATTTGACACATGTAAACAATAAAATAAAATTTTCATAATTTTATGCGGATGAAGTCGCACGGGAACAGCTAGTTCTATTATAAAGAGGAAAGGTTTGTATTTTTGTATGTATTGAAATAACTCAAAAATTACTGCACTGATTTCACAAATTCTTTCACCAATAGTTTAGACTATTTTTAAATTTCACGTGTACGAAGCCGCGAGCAATGGCTAGTTTGTGATAAGCATTCAGAAGAATAGTCATGACAAAGAGATCTAAAGAAAATAGAAGTCTACGGTTACCGGGGATATTTGTTCAAAGTTACACAAGTTTTTAAAATTACATTTTCTTAATTAACCTGTCTTTGCAATCGTAAGTGGTCATCTTCCATCTTCTTCACAACTTCCAGGTCGTTTGCTTGTTCAATGCTCACGCTTGGCTGCACTTCCATGATTTCATAAAGGAAATATAATCTAGAAAAAAGTGAATGTAAAATTTTTATATCAATATCTCAAGAGCTTTGTCTGAGCCAACGGGATTCGATATTGTTGAGACTGACAGCTCGTTCACACTTGTCGTTTTTACGTCCGATAAAACATTGAGCACAGATTTCTGTCGGAAGGAAAGAAAAGTTTCAGTCGTTTTTAATCCTTGCCCAGATAACAATTCATTTATCTTTTCTATACCTTTCCTTCCCCATGAAGTTCAACACTCAATTATAAAGAAAATAGTGAGAAATGGTACATATCGTAATTAACCGAATAACTTCTACAAGACGCATATCTTCTGTGTGGTCAATCTGTCGGGTCATTGATGTAACTAATACTTTGAACTCTACCACTTTTATATTCTGTTCCTTAATAAGAGCGATAACCGTAATTCGTCTTCTCATAGACACTTGGATTGCATTAGAGATGCCGGCGTACACATTTGGTTAAACTATCCCACAACTGTTGTGCGATTGTCGATTGTTTCGCAGCCAATTCAACTGTTACTCTATATATGTTACTCTCATATGAATCAAAGCGATTCTAAATAGTGAACAAACAATAGAATATGCATATTATCAAAAAAACTTGATCGGATTGGTTAGCAGACTCCTGTGAATAGTCGACACTTGACAAATGAGAAAGAACCGTGACCCTATCTCATATTTATAGTGCTGACGTAGCATTGTTAGCGCCCGGCGACTGTTCCACGTTAGAACAAATAAAATAAAGCTTTATTTTCCCGTTGCCTGATATATCTTGTATTGTGTCTCCAATGGACGGGATTTGTTCGTTTCATCTTCATTTTGAATTCAGATCGATACGTTGTCTTTGTAAATATCTGTGTATTAGTTTATCTTTTGTAGAAATATTTTTCAGATAACTGGATTAGTGGTTTATCTAGTTGGAGCGTCGCTAGGAGGTAGGTGAGGCAGTAATTCCCCTCCTAAGAGAGTCAATCTTACTTACTAATATTATATATGCGAAAGTTCAGATGGATAGATGTTTGTTAGAGTTTGTAGCCTAAAAGGCTGAACGGATATTGATGAAATTTGGCATAGATGTAGAGGATAGTCTGGAAGGCCACAGGCTACTCATTTTTGTGTTTCTTAATTCCACACTGGAGGAGTCGAGGGCGAAAGCTAGTTGTAAAATGAAAAGTTTTTTTTAATGTGCCTACAATTCTGAGATTTGCGTAGAAAATCAAAGCCAGTAATGTTAGTAACTCCAATTAAAAATATCTTCGTTTTGTTGAAACGTTATGATTTATTTAATGGGTTTCTTATATGTAAAATATCTCTTCGACACATCCGTAACACGCTAGCAATGTTATTCATATTTATAAAACGAGCGAAGGAATATATTGTGAAAGAACAAAGAAACAGGGGTGCAAACCCCATTCCGTTTTACAATATCAAAGAAATTTTAATGAAATGGAAGAATGCGTCCACCGTGTCACGTAATACAGAGTTATTTGAATTGCAAATTCGCGACAAGAAAATATTTCCCCTAAGGTTCAGCGTGCATTTTATAATTACCCCGCAGTTTTGCGCCTGCCGTAAAAAATATACTCGCGGTAATTGCGTCGTGTGAGGTATGAATTGCTAATAAGTTTGATAAGGCGCGCTAATATAATGGTGAAAAATGTTGAGTAACATTGTAAGTTTGTGATAAAAATATATTTTTAAGCTAGAATTTAAATTATAAAACATAAATTTATGAAAGCTTAAATTTCTTTTTAAACTTGTATTGTGTCGTAGATTGATATTTAGATGTACAATCTATCGTACTTACTGCTTTTCTTAAAGGATTCTACTTACATATTAAATAAACAACATTAAAAGTAGGTTAAAGGTCCAGATTCTTTATTTATTGATGCTTATTCTATGTAGCACGTTGCTTCTTATTTATAGTAAGCAATATCTAGACGAAGGTCAGTTCAAGGTTATCCTGTACATCAAGTTCAATGTCAATTGACTGACAATATATCACGTTGCAAGACATAAAAGACGTCTCTACCTTACATACGCTTTTAGATAAAGAATTTATTTTATAGTCCACGAGCTGTTCCCGTGCGGCTTTAACCGCATGAATTTTTTTCAAAGTACAGAACCAAATTAAATATACTGTAGTAGACAAAGAAAGAAAAGGACATGAAAATAAAGAATGTTCCAAATTAGACCAGTAATTTTTGATTTTATTTGTCACATACCAAATACAAATCTTACCTCTTTATAATATTAAGTACTAGCTGTTCCCGTGCGACTTCATCCGCATGAAATTATGAAAATTTTATTTTATTGTTTACATTTGTCAAATTATCAAATACAAAAAATGACATGACATGACAACAACCTTGCTTCCTTGATTGGCAGCAACTTATGGTCTCTTTCCCACATTAGGGTTTTATGCAAAATATTTACCCCCTAAGTTTAATGGCGTTAAAATATATAGCCTAAAGCGTGACGCAAGTGTAGGGCTTTTTATTAAAAAAGAGAATATTCTAAAAGATGCTATAATTGCTGACATCTTAGGCAACAAAGAAGTATGTGTTTACGCTTTATTATAATAGTAAAGATATCTTTAACAATTCGTATTACAATTTACAACAAATAGAGCATAAATAATCCAGTAAACAGTGCGTTTATCACACGTCACAACAAGATGTGCCGCGACCGCAGTCATCATAAAACACGCGTTAGTGACGTCATCAGCACTGTGACGTCACGACACGCGTGCAACTGTCAGCTGGTGTGGTATAGTGAGATGGCTAACGGCGTTTAGAATCCTCTGGATTTACTTACATCTTGATTTTAACCGACTTTCATAAGTGTGGTTTTAAATTCTTCCAAAAAAGGAGGGGGTTTTAAGTTCGTCCCAAAAGGAGGTGGTTTTAAGTTCGACAGTATTTTATCTTTTGTACCTTGACCGATTTTGTTGATTCTTTATATTTTAAAGGTCCCATTACTTTATTTTATTTTTTACATAGAATGGAGTAGACGATTTCAATACTCGGATTGACAGAAATATTTTATACAGATTAAGTAATAATTAAATTAGCTATTACTTTGTCAAAAAATCGACTAGCAGTAGTTAGACATGAAATATTTGAATTCTCGCTACATTGCAAAAAATATCGAACTACACATTTTTGATGTAATAAAGAGTAGTGAGGCGTTGTCAGGCGTTTTTGTTGTCTATACCACAGTTGGATAAAGTCCATTCTTTGGCTCTTACCAGTAATTGCCTTGCCTTGATAATTATCAATTTTTGTTAGGCATGTTATAAGGGATGAATCGTATGTAACAAGGACGTTAGTTATGAGTG